CGGATGGGAACGTGCCCCGCTCGGGGAGATATCTGAAGGGGAAATCCTGATGCATCTGCTGGTGCCCAGGTTGGCCTCGGATTTTGTCATCCAGCGGGGGAGGAATACCTCTGTATTAAGGCATAAAACACTAATGAGACGTATGACGATAGCAGCTGGCGTGTCCGGAAACATCAGTCAACTAATCCAAAAAGTTTACTACTCCAAAAATCTTAAAAGGCCACGGACCAGGCGCGATCATTCCTTCCTGTTCCTTGTCCCATTTCACCCTTTTCTTACACACACTTACACTAACACCTACACACTACACTTACACGCCGGGAGAGCAGCTTAGAGCTTGTCCCAGCTGGGGCGGTGCCCCGGGCGAGGGATACCTGGTTGTGGAAACTTCAGGAAGCTGACGTGAAGGTCGGCGCCTGATCTCGCTAACTAGAGGAAGATCACCGTTACCTCCCGCGATAAAAAAGATGCACTACACTTACGGTACTAACGATATTACTAATTGTTTCACCCTGAATCACTAATCAATGAATGAATCAATCGACAAAACCAACGAATAAACGAGGTGCTATGGTCAAGTACACAAGCGTTACTGGATTCACATGAAGTCCCAACAAATTAAGCTGAAGATCGCTTTGATTTTATCAACATAGTAGTTGTCCTTAACGGGAATAATCAGAATACAGATGTTGCTAAAATGTGAACCCTTCAATGTGCTACGTTTTCATATCCACTAGAGAAACTGGAGATCACACTGAGTCAAAGGCTTAAATGAGCTTGTAAAGGATTGCAGTTTAAATTACAAAAGATAAGAACGTTTCTTCGCGTTAGTATGTAAAAATCTAAGCATCTATTTTTGGTCGTGATTCTGAATCCTTCAGACCACCATCAGAGGTGTTGGCGCTCCTTCGAAAGATGGGGGAGGGGGAGTAGCGGGACAATCGTTAAGTTGGGTCCCCCTTCCTTACGATCTGTCGAGGGTCAAGGAAGCTCCTCTATAGTTTAATACTAATTGTGAAGACCTCAGACTAACTAGAGAGGTCAAGCTTAAGAAGCTAATTCACTTCATCGAATGCCCGCTTTGTTAATCTTCTTTACATAGTGCGATGTAAAAGATATGTTAGCAGTGAATGAATCGATCAGCTTCAATAATGAAGTAACGTGACAACTTATTGCGGTAATTCAGATTAACTTTCATTCATAAACCTTGAATTCCTGGGAGGCGTATGCAATAATTCTTGCTGGGATGATAAAGCGGCTGCCTACCGCACTTGCGGGTGCATGGACATGATGGGTTTTTACCCACTTTAGACATGTAATTTACCTCCTTTTTGTCTCAATTGCATGTTGTCCAGGTAATATTTTATATTATAAATCATTATTCCCCAATTTATCGTACTCATGGATATTGTGGGGATGTTGTAGGGAAGGGCAACGCTTTGAATGTAGAAGCAAGGTGGAGAGAGGCAAGAGAGAGAAATAAACCGGAAAATTATTTTGTCCCCAATTGAGACTGATAAATTACAACGCAGGGGAAAACCGAGTGTGTGAAGAGAACGTCTCGCGTGCGATTGTCTCGTCCCGCAGTCACGAAGGGGCCACTAGGAATGAGAGGTGATATTAATAATAAAGAAGACGCGAATAGTGACAAAGTCAGAACAACAAACTCTCCTGTAAAAACCGCCGCTAACCAGTTTATTACCTAACGAATCACATGCGGACGGATCACAATTTCTCTAACATTCAGAAGTGAAAAAAGCACCTACCATAGCGAGCCGTAAACTTCCGATGAAGATTTACGGAATATTGTGTCGCCAGCATATGACAAGAAGATGAACAGGTTTTAAAATTTGGAATAAATTAAGACAAAAATATGCAGTCATAAAATTGCGTCACATAAAAAACCTTCCAAAAACTGTATCATTCTGTCAGATAACAGTTTTCTAAAAGATGAGAGATGACGCCGCATACTTGTCTCTCGAATTACTGTATATCTATTGCCATCGATTACCTCAAATCTAATGTTCCTATTAGAAAATTTGAGATATTTTCCGTCTGATTGAGATGAAGTGACACGTTTGCCATAGTTCTTTTAGATCCTTTCCAAATGTTATTTCCGTACTTTTCTGCGTAAGATTTAGATAGATTGTTGACTCGTTCAACCGCTGTCGTCAGCAACGTCGTTGTCTAGCGAATGAATTGAATAACTATGGATTTACGGGGAACCTACCAACCCAAACCCAATAAATATTACTCAGACCGTTGTTGTGGTGTTCCCTGGCAGCGGGAATCAAAATGTACTGGCAACGCTGGGAGCCTACGAAATGTCGAACATTTTCTCAGCATTTTCTCACTCCTTTTCGGGGATGGATCAATTTCCAAATACCCGTGCATTAAAACGAAACAATAAACAAACAAAAATTCAAGAGCATTCAACTCACGGATATTCTGAAGGTAATTTACATCCTAATGACACCCTCTTAAGTCGTCGTAATGCTGACAGTGAGTAATTAACTTCGCTAATTTTGCCTTCACGTCGAGCACATGCCCCAGCAGTGGCAGATTGCCAACTCCGTGCGCGGACGAGTTGGTCGTTTCTAGGAAGCGAATTGCTTGTTATGACGCCTCGTGCACTGCTTTACCCTTTGACACGCGACAGATAACTGTAGGAATCGACGAGAGGCTCATGCGGGGTCCGGATACAATGCATCCCGCTGACAAAACTTCCTAAATCTTTTGCCTACTCCAACAAAAGACTCCAATTGCAATCCGTTTTTTGTTTTCTAGTGAGGGAGCGAAATGAAAAGCTCTCCGAGGAATCAGTACTACGAACGTCTACTACTACGATTATCAATGTTAAAACCAACACTTAAATTACTGTGGATAGAAAGCTCACAGTCTTCAATTGCTACCATTGTCTAATTCTACTCAACTAAGAAAAGAGTATCACAGATATTTCTGAAAATTCTGCAATGTTCACCTGTGTTCTCCATAAACTCTTGAATGAAAACGCGGCTGCAAACTCTGCTCCATCCCCCTCCAATAACACCGGTTGTAGTGCAGTCGTGCAAAGCCTTCTGAGTTGGACGAACGTGTTCGAAGATGTATTAGAAGCGACGGAGATGGGACAGTTGACCGTGGGATGCAGACGGGCGATTCTCGTGTAGGGGGCGCGCGGGCGGTGCACCGTTAGAAAAGCGCACGTAAGTGTGATACAAAGGACCCCCTCGATTTAAATAGCAAACAAACGCTGATTTACTTGGCTTACTTTTACAGTGATTATAAATGGAGTTGTGGCTTTCAGACTATGAGAGAATGAAGAACACAAAGAAAGAAAGAAATTATCACAAAAAAGTAATTGATATGAAGTTAGTCTCTGAACAACACAAAGACACAAATTCAGAATAAAAAATTTCTTCGTTGTGCGAAGCGACTCCAATGCAAAATATTGTGTTTTAAAACAATTATCAATTCCGTAATTTACTATCCTGTCTAATGTAGAAATAAAATGAATCGAGTGTCTCAGTAGACGAGAAGAACAAGTGTATTTGTCCGAAGCAGTAGGTTGTGACCTTACGAAAAAACGCTTCTAAAATCCATACAATTGTATCTACATGTGATATATACATGAGCAGAATGCAGCAGAATGAATACAAATATTTACTTTAGTTTGTGGAACGATATATAAACTACTAGGGAATTAGTTTTTCTCATAATAATTGAAACTGACGACAAACCATGCATGTTTTCATTATATTATTTCCCTAAAACGCATGTTTATTGCCTTGGAAATAACTAGAATAATGTGTTGGATGTACTTCTAAGAGTTTTGCACTCTCATAGTAATTTTTTTCTGGAAGCCTTTTAATAGCAATTACCGTCTGATCATTATTTTCTACACCTGTGGGGCGTATCTTGCTTTTTAGTACGCATATAAACTAATAATCCTGTTAACAGTTTACAGATTGGTGTTATTTTGTAGTACACGTACGGCAAATTAAATTAAAATCTGAGTATAACAATGTAAACAAAATATTGGCTGCGTTATATCAACGGAACTGGATTTTGTAACATTGTCATTGATTGCGAGACTTTTTTCTTATACGATCCCTTGAATACGTCCTAAAAATGAGGTACTCAACTCGTACGAAAGCTGTATGGCACAATCGTTTCAAAATTCAAGACTCGGCTTATATCGTCTTTCCATCCGAAAAATTTTTAATCGTAAGCCCAGGACCTCCTTTATGTTCTCGTTTCGTAAGTTCTTGCACATTTCGAATGTTTTCTTGTCGCCAACACGCATTTAGACGGCGATGGTGTAGAATGATAAAAGCCGACATCATACCGATTTCATAAAAAAGCCGATTTCATACATGTGAGTCCGCTTTCATTCGGATGCACCCTCGAACTGTTGATCTCCAGTCGATTTTCAAACATTTGCAAATGAATATTGAAGACTGTTTTTTTCATTAAAAACACTAGCAGCACGTTAATTTACTTCCAAAATTAAGAATATCTCAAGTTTTAGAAATGATCGGTTATTAATCCTAAATATGAAGAACAATTTGTTTTCAATTAAGACTTAAAAATTCATAAAATACAAAATGATCACGGTGTTGATTTAATTTTGAAATAGAAAATATATTTGAGTACATAAAAAGGCTTGAAAACTAGAACGTAATATTCATTCAAGCAGTGCATTAAGTTGTTTAAGTTAAGTTAGTATCAAGTTGTCACTGTTTAATACTTTTCAAATGCGTTGAAAAGTAAGATTTTGTAAATATTCTGTTCAAAAAATTATTATTCTGTTCAAAAAGTTAGTTCTGCTTCTTTGTGAAAGAATAAGTCCCTAAAACAATTTATACACGTATCTTTGAAAAGAACATCGTATTCGGACACTTGGACCACATTCGCTATCAGTCAGCAACGGGCAGAGTTGGTAAAAACGTTAATGCGCTTGCGCACACGAGTGTAGGAGAGTAGCTTTGCCTGTGACTCACCTGGTAGTCGTGCGGTTGCGGCTGCGCAGAGGAGAGTCGGGGTCTGGTCTCGAGTGAGGCGTTAACCGGACTTATATAGAGAGCGGCGGAGGGGGGTGGGGGGCGGGGCGGCTGGGGGTGACCTCGTGCCTTACGTAAGCGCCCAGGGAGGAGGGAGGGAAGAGGGTGGGAGGGATAGCTGGTCCTTAGTCCGCTGACCCCTGCAGCATCTTCTGCGAGGCGGAGAACGAGGAAAGTGGATTGGAAGAGAAATCGACCATTGGCGAAAACAGGAAGGTGTAAATATGCGAAATGTATTCCGTTTGACGCAAACAATGCCACGTGAGTTTTGGTGTTCGATTTTCCATATTCATGCTGCTGTATATCCTGTGCTCAATCCCAAATTCGTACTTTAAGTTTTGGAATGATTGCGAATGTTGTCAGTTTTCCAATTACAAATAACCTCAATGAAACTTTACATGTTGATTTTAATTGCCCTCTATTTTGATTCTATGTATATCACATTGCCATACACCTTTTCTGACACATAAGACGAGTTGAATATGTACTACGTTCAAAGCTGTAATCGTAAGTAATAATGATTAGAGATAGTTGATGAGTTCATTTATACTAAGAATAGACAAATAATTACTCTTCTAAAAATTGGAATAGAGAAACAGTAAAATGGGAGAAACATGCACGAGAGAGGATCACGAGTGGTGTTTTTTTTTTCTAGTGTTTTGGAAAACAACGAAGACTGACAAAGTTTACACAGACGTATAAAATATATATTTAGTAATTTTCATTATGTAAAATTTATCTTTAGATATCACTAGCATCGTAATCGCATTGGAAGTTCTGAGTTTCATCTCAATCACGAAGCAAACTATTTTCTCTTGCTCTAACGGTCGGACAAAATACGTAAAAGCTTAAGGCTAGAAATTAATTTTGGGCTTAATTTTATTTTTTGATTAATACACATATTCCTATATTTGATGTTCAACCGCAAAGTAATTTGCAGTAATTTTAATGGCAAAAACTATTTACAATCATCATTTCAAGTAGAATGTTTAAAAGGTATTATAAAGATAACCTTAAGAAAGAACATACTATTATTAGACCTTCACTTTTAATAGTTATTTTGAAATTTTTCTGTGGGAGAGATGCTACCATAGCTTTCTCGAGTCCTGTTTGGAACTCAGAGGGAGAAAGGCTGATTAATAATATCTATAAATAAAGTGAGCAGCTGAAGGAACGACATGGGAAATTCTCTGTGATAAACCTACTCTGTTTCATTCACCTCAATTTCCACTTGGAGTGGACGACGAGGCATGAACGCAGAAGCAAATACGCAAACATCTCCATGAGAGGGAAATCAAAATAGCATTAAAACAATTCGATACTACAAGGAGTACTTCACACCAAACCACATCGCAAACCACACATGCAACAAAACAATATGCTTGCCTCCTGCCCGTTTGCCTTTCTATTCGTAAACATAATTTGTTATGAAGTAGTTCATCCCTATATTTAACGATTAAAGCTTAGTTCTAAGCGAGCGAACTCTCTCCCAAAGAGCGGTGAGTCATAACTTCGAAGAACAGGGGAAGGTTGGCGCACGGAGCGCATGCGCAAACAGCTGCGGGCGGCGCTCGGCAATTAGTGCAGAGGAAGGCGGCTCCTCAGGGGCAGCGACTGCCAGTGAGATGAAAACAATTCTGGGAGTGAAGCATATCGCTGAGGTAAATTTTACCCATGCAATGTCGAGGAGAAGCGAAAACTACACTTTTCCGCGGGTGATTCCTTGACCCCAATTTCCTTCACCGGGGCCGCAGGACAGTATTGAATAGAAAGATCTTTTGTTCCGCTGCTTTTCGGCACGCCTCATGAATCTTGTAGGACTCAAGTGCCTTACGTACTTTTTTCTAAGAGGAACACGAAGAGACGATTTGTCTGACAGTGATTCCGAAGCACTATTAGTTCATTGAACGGATTGATTGATTGTCACCGGTTTACCATTTATCCTAAGGTTATTAGTCCGTATGTGAAGTGTATGCTTTTTATCGCGGAAGGTGACGGTGATTCTTTCCCGGCTTCACGACGAGATTCGGCTCCGATATACACTTTGACTTGAAGGGTTTTCCCCAACCATGTGTCTCCCACCAGTGGGGTTTGTCCCGCACCACCCGGGACAAACTCTAAGCTCGCGTCATGTGTGGCAGTGTATGTAGGTGTGAGTATAAGGGATGGTAGGACAAGGAAGAGGAAGGAAAGATCACATGTGGACCATGACCCATTTGTTAGGGTTCTGCTCCTGCATTCACCTGATGAAGAAACCACGGATAACTATCGATCGGAGCTACCATCCGCTAGAATTCTCGTCCGGACAGTGGCTGAATTCGAACTAGCTATCTAGCTAGGGTCGAAAATCCTGCCACCGTCGGGGTTCGAACCCTAGCACCTCCTAGTCGGAAGCAGTGACACCAATTGATTCCCTGATCTAGCTAAGTAAATGGCTAAGTATGAAAAACACAACTCGCGGTGAGAAGATATTAAATAATCATTGCGTCTGAATCGAGACTTCGTTGAAGAACCCAACTGATATAAATTAATAAGACAAAATGTTAAAAGCATGCCTGAGCTCACTCGAGAGAGATTTAGATACAAAATTATTTAATAATAATTGTAGTCCGTCGGATTATTGAGGAAAGAGGCGAGGGAGAGAAAGAGGAGAAAAATAGAAAGAAAAGGGAGGAATGTAATATTTGATTTCTCATATTCAAAGAATTTGGTATGGTTTAGAAAATCTTACGAAATCTTACGAAAATCTTACGATCTTATGATATATATATATATATATATATATATATATATATATATATATCATTCGTGTGTGTGTGTGTGAGAGAGAGAGAGGGAAAGTGAGAGTGAGGGAGGGAGAGAGAGGAAGACGATTCGGTAGAACCATTCGGCATCACTTCGGACCGTTCTTCACCCGAAGATGAGGCGAGCGTGGGTGCCAAGTGTCCGCACGCGAAGGGACTTTGTTGAGGCAGCGCGGAGAGGCGCGGAGCGGCGCGGTGAGGCCAGGCCTTCTCCTCCTCCAGGCGCTTCCCGTGCGGTCGCTTCCCATGCAGCCTTGGCCATATCCGCCCTGGGAGGGAAGCCGGTCGCGGCCGCGGCCGCCCCGATCACCGCACCAGCGGAAGCGCCCGCCTCGGCCAAGGGGTGCCAACGTGCGCCCAACAACTGATTCTCGGGCGATCTTCGCAGTAGTGATGCGACATAGTGTGTTAGCAACTATCGATTTTCCAAATTAAAACCGATGTTAAAAAATCGACTAAAAACCTTAGATGACTTTCAACATCGATGTTTGCACACATTAGTAAACTCTAACAAATTCGTGTGCATTAAAATTTAAATTGACAGTCTTCCTATTTATCAATTCGCCGAATAAGGGTACGAGAAGAAGAGGCAAATCCTTAAATGCCTGGAATTAAACCAACACCTACTAAATCGATGTATGTAGGTGGTACAGCATGAACACCAAAACATGTGTTTATCAAAATACGCCACTGTTTTCTTTTGCGACTTTGGCAACACTGATGTTAACATCTTTAAGTGTACAAATGAATTACCAAGTAAATCGCGCTGCAGATTGATTTCAATTTAGATTCGAATTGACGTATTTAAAAATAAATTCGAGCATCGAAGCATTTTTGAGTCTCTGCTCAGCTTCAAATTTTTTGACACCATGCTGACAAGATTTTTAGTCTCATAATTGTGTGAAAGATAGATATTACCTACTTATAGATTTAAATAATTTATTGATTCTTAGAAACGGTAAATGTGTACGACTAACCGTACTTGGGACCGTTCTTGGTACCTATTTGTTTAATTATTCTCTTGAATTTACTATTACAAAATCCTTCACCCGACTGTTACCCGAAGGTTATCCCTAGATCGCTTCATCATGACAAATTTCTATATGGTGGGTCTGATAAGCCGTCTATACAGATACTAGGTTGCGAAACATTTACGTAAATTAGTTATTTTATTTCCTTTTTGTGTAGGATTGGGAACTCTCCTGTTGTTATTCAGAAATAACAATACTTATTTCAGTTACAACATTTCTATCTGTATTAATATGTGAGCATATATATTTATTCAAATATTCTATAGGAAACAACAACAATAATGATTTTTAAAACACATGTTCTCTCATAAATTCTCCCAATCTCTTTATACTCACTACATATCCCTCCCTCTTTACATGCATGGCCAAATTTCCTTGTAATTATTAATTTTGAAAGTTTACTTTAATAAAACACTTGGTCTTCCTACAATACAAATAAAACAAATACAAATACAAATAAATGTTCTCCGTTTTGCTACTTTTCTTGCGTAGATCTACCTCAATCTTGAACGTCGTCCAGCGACCATTCAACCTCCATTTTCAAAAGAATTCGATCTACTCCGACAGTGTTTGCGTTCTCCACATACGTAATTATATTTCCTCTCTAATTCCACATTTACTACCTTAAAACATCACCTTTACAAACTAACAAATCAGTCTAAATCTTCCCGCAACCAAATAGCTCCTCCCTTCATCGTTTGACCCGTTTTTTCATCTCGCGCGTCCTTCATCTGTCTCTCATCTGCGCGAAATTATACTCAAACATGGCTCTTCTTCGTATCTTACGCGCCGTTCCTTCGATTCTTCTCACACAGTCTAATTCCTGATTGGCCATACACTTTTCAACATAGTACCTGTTTATTTTTTGTTTTCCTGCACGTAATAACTTCTTAATTTATTTTCTACCCCTCGAACTTTGCTCACGTGTCCCGTCACTACTTTATCTGTTACCATATCATGTATTTTCCCCATTTTCAATTCTGTTTTACTTTCCTTGTACTGTTTTCAAAATACTGCTCACCTCGGTTTCTTTTCTAAACCCCCAGTGTTATGGGCTGTCGTCCATTATTATAATTACGTAAATTATACATATATATATATATATATATATATATATATATATATATATATATATATATATATATATATTTGCGAAGGG